GTGCAGTGCGCCCTCATTGCCCTGTTTATAGATCTGCAGCTTTATCTTGGCTTGTTTGGTGTTACGCGTGTTGCCGCCTGCCGTGGGCGGCTAGCTTGTGCTCAACCCCTGTTGTTGTTTCACACCGGTTGGTCACAAGTGGCGGGAGGAGTCTAGCTAGCCTAGACGATTGTAACAAAGCAAAGCAAAGTTGTCCCACCGGTTGGTCACAGTGGCGGGAGGAGTCTAGCTGGCCTAGACGATTGTAACAAAGCAAAGCAAAGCAAAGGAAAGCGGCGTGGGGGTGCCGGGGGGGCCCCGGGAAAACACGCCTGCAAATCCATGCGCTTGCCAACATGGGGCGCCGACAGGGGGGCGGGGGCGCGGGTGCCGCGCCACTGTCGCCGCGGGCGGCCAAACCTGCGGCCCGCCTGTGCCTTGGAGAGGCCCGAGGGCCCAGGGCCAGGCATGTCTCATGGGTGTGTGCAGTGCGCCCTCATTGCTCTGTCTGTACTCCTTCAGTGATTGTATTTATTTTCATCGCGCGCCTGTGGTTGTTGCATTTTCGATGCCGCCAACACTATGCGACCCGTTTGCAGTGTGGTGAGCCCTTGTTGTTGCATATCAGTCAATCGGCCTCAAGAATTTGTTTGTGCGTTGTTGTGAGAACAGAGAGGAGTGACTTGGGAGTTTTGTTTAAAGAAAAAAGCGCTGTTGTGGCAGCAAATTCCGCGGGGGGGGGGCTTGTGAGAAAACATACGTTCAGCCTTACACCTGCCCAGGTCAAGGCCTCTGACCCTGGCCAGTAGGCACATTCCTCCTGCCATCGCCCGGACAGCATTCGCCATTCCCGATCTCGCATTGACGCGGTGCAGTCTGCCCCAACTTGTGTGCGACGATGCTGTCAGTGTTTTGAGGTGCGGGCGCCGGCGCGGCCGGCCCGCAATGGTCTAGCATGGGATCTTCGTGGTGTCCCATGTCCTGCACTGTGGGGGGTTAGTTCCGTTTAGAGTGGGGGAACCCTGCTTGATATAGAGATTCACAGCAGGTGTCAGCAATCTGTGTGCGCAGCGGTAGACCCAAGGTTGTGCTCGAGTCACATTTGTAAATCTACTGGAAAACAGCAACTGCATATGCTGGACCTTTGACAAAATTTCTGGGACAATTCTGAAGCGATGGTTGCTGTGCAGAATTGCGGCAGTCGTATTTGGGGCATAGCGAAATTGAGCGATGACACAAGTGGGCAGTAGCATAATCGTGAAAGCGCGTGAGTGGCTGGCACAGGCGCGTCAGGACAACTATACTCGCATGCATGCCACTTGATCCGCAGATGGTTGGTATGGTGCAAGGATGGCGTTGTGGCACTGCATTGATGAGCAGCTGCTACGGCATGGCGCGCAGCAGCGGTCCGCGTCACTCCAGTTCTTGGCTGCCCTCCGCGCGCTCAAGGTTACTTCATTCAAGTCGAGCGTCTTATCAAGCAGAAAAAAACATGCTCCATTCCTCATGAATTGCGAGATCAGACATCCAAACAATGATCGGAAGGGTTTCATGCGCACTGCATCGTATTCGCACCTGTTTTGTTGACAATTTCTATTGTCTACCATCCAGCAACGTTCGTCAAGGCACACGCCTCAACACGGTACGTGTGTGGCACAACGCCGCTGCATGGCGCTGGTGGGGCGCTTACGTTTCACGTGGTCTTGACAGCACGTGCCATCTGCCCGATAGCATGCTGGTGTAGAACAAGCAATTGTTGTGTAGGCTCCAAGAGATTGAAGCTCCTTTAATGCATGCCTCTCTGTACGGTAATGTTGATGTGAGAGTGTGTGTGTGTGTGTGTGTGTGTGTGTGTGTGTGTGTGTGTGTGTGCGCGCGTGCGAGCATGCATACGTGCGCGCGCGCATGCGTGCGAGCGTGCAAGCGTGCGTGCGTGCGTGCGAGCATGCAAGCATGCGTGCGCGCGCGCATGTGTGTGTGTGTGTGTGTGTGTGTGTGCGCGCGCGTGTGTGTGTGCCTGTGCTTGTGTGTGCGCGCGCGCCCGCGGGTGCGTGCGTGGGTGCGCGCGTGCGTGCAGGTGCTAGCGCAGGTCGCCTTGCTGCTGAGAGATTGACTCGCCCAGAATCAGCACTGTGTGCGATACTGAGCAACAGCACCTGTTTTAACAACTGCGGTCCCTCGTTATTGAAAGCAGTTCACGTGGAAGCGGGCGACCGCGGGTGCGATAACAAGCCTAACCTCTAAATCCACAAAAGTGCTGGGAGTATCCACCTGTCACGCTTGCTGCTGGCTGCAAGGGAAAGCATGGAGAAAACACTCACAAACAATCAGACGGCAGTTCAGAAAATGTATTGCATCAAATTAAGATGCCGCAGACTTGACAGCACATTCACACGTTTTCACATGCCCCAGCGCGTGCACAAGGGTGTCGAAGGGACCCCAGTCGTGCAAAAGTATATGAGAGAGAGAATCCGCGGGCCATGCAGCAAGGCGTGGCCCGTGTCATTGCAGGCGGAGACAACATGAATTCATTTCAAGCTGGCGGGCGCAGCAGGATACATAGAACGCGCCCCACGCTGTGCAGCTTGCGGCTGTCACCATTACTCTCCTGCTGGCACTGATGCCCCTGGCCAAGTTTTTGAGAGTTTCCTGGGGTTCCTGGTACCGCGGCTCCTGGTACCGGATCTGGTCAATACCTGCATGTTAGCACCGACCACCAGTTGTCATCGGTAGACTTATCAGGATCAGGATTGTTACAAGATCCCCCGGTCCCCCGCTCCTGGAGCCATCCAGACTCACGGGATGTAGCGTTGTAGCATCAACGTAGTGTGACAGGGACTCAAATGGCTAATGGTTGACTTAGATACGCCAATATGGCATCATGTGATCAATTGCCCTCACGGAGCGACCCCTGCCCACCATGGAGTGGGCGGCGCTGGTGACGGTCCCACTAGCCAGCATCAATGACACCCTGCCACGCACTGCCCATGTTGCATGCTACATGGCGCCGCTGCTCAAACAACCACCGCTGCGCCCAGCACGCACATGTATGTGCGTGCGCCTGCTCGGCTCATAACTGATCTGCGCGCGGCACTGCTCCTCGCCCCAGCACTAAACACATCCCACTGCCCACTCCTGCTCCATCCTGCTGTATGTAGTGTGCAGAAACCACCGCCGAACGCGCTCGCACGCCTGCTCGACTTTTCTAGTTGAGACCGCAGCTGGTCGCTCCATCTGCCAGTGGCGGCTGTCCGCTGCCACCCCGTCTGCACTCGCACGCACGCACGCCTCCCACTGTCGCGCTGGGCGGGGCGACGCTGGGAAGCCCCGCCCAAATAAATCTGTCAGCTCCCCCTAAAGCTGCGCCCTGTACGCACACGCCTCCCGCTATCATGCTGGGCGCCGCCTAGCCTTGAAGCCCAGACCCCCCGCCGGCGTCGTTGCCGTGGTCGCTGCCCCTGCCACGGCCGCGCTTGCGCACACGCTTGGAGAAGTTGTGCACAAGCAGGCAGTATTCAACCAAACGTCCTTCCTTGCCCTTATTGCTGCCCGCAGTGGTTGGCACACGACGGCGCCGGGCGATGCCTGCCGCGATCTCGCCGGCAGGGGCAGCAGAAGGTTGCAAGGCAGGGGCAGGCTGCAGTCCCTCCCCCTCCGATGGTAGTGCGGCTGCGGACGGTGGCGCCAGGTTTTCGCTGGTGTGCCCCTGCTCCTCGCTCTACCTCCATGGAACAAAATGCCCCCTCCATGTCCTGCTGCTGTTGCTGCTGCTGTTGCTGCTGCTGTTGCTGCGGCGGTGGCGGTGGTAGCTCCAGCTCTTACTGCTGCTGCTCTTGCTGCTGCTGCTGCTGCTGCTGCTGCTGCTGCTGCTGCTGCTGCTGCTGCTGCTGCTGCTGCTGCTGCTGCTGCTGCTGCTGCTGCTGCTGCTCTTGCTCCTGCTTTTGCTGCTGTCCTTGCTGCTCAGCCTCCCTATGCTGCTGCTTCCCCTCTTACTGCTGCTGCTGCTGCTGCTTTGTGGGTGCAAACGCAAGCCTGCACGGTCGCACGGTAGGGCCTCCCACCGCTGGGGGCGGGCAAGCCTGCAGCAGGCGGTCCGCAGGCCACCTCAAGCACATATGCATGTCGGTGCGAACGCTGACGCTGATGATGATGCTGATGCAACGTGATGGTGGCGGCGTGGTGCCTCCACCGGTCGCGCGCTGCTGCGGCAAAATGGACTGTACTGTGGGTTGTCACTTTATATCTTGAGCTGCGCATGCTGGCAGCTGAGATGATGAAGATGCACGCATTTGTCTTGGCATCACCCACAGTATCCTCTCACACCACAAACAACGCAGCACAGCCAACAGCAAACAAGGGCAGCAGACATGCATTCGCGACCACTGTTAGTTGATTACTGACAATCGCACTCCTTGCAAACAGACGACACTGCAATGCAGCAATACAAACGTGTCATGTGGGAACTGCCACCAAGCAACCCCTCACGTTCCCCAGTGGATGCTGTCAAGCTGCTCGACGCTCATTTTGTAGCCATGGACAGTGAGGTAGGTTGCCCTCACTGCCATGGCCTTGATGGCGGTCAACTCGTTGAGGGAATTTTTCTCCAGTCCAAGCCCGCGGACGGAGTTGTAGGTGCAGCCGTTGGGCAGCATGCTGTAGCTGCCCGGAGGCACCGATATACTGCCGTGTCGCCTGCGCACCGCCAAGCTACGCCAACCCGCGGCCTCATGAAGGCGCCGGTCTGCTGCTTGATGGGACTGCAGAGTTTCGGCACTAGCTTAGCCAGAAGCCCCCGGGCCCTGTGGCCTTCCAGCGCTGCCCCTGCGCTTACAGCCGCCACGCCTGCTGCGCTGGCCGGACCTGCGCCGGGTCCACCCGCCGCGCTAGCCACGCGGGCGCCTCTAGAGAGCTCTCTCGATTGCGGCGGCAACTTTTGCTATGGCAGCCGCGGCCCCCGCTTCACCCGCAACTTTCGCACCAGTATCAGCATGTGCGCTGCTCTCGCTCACTGCCGCGGCCGTTGCTGCTGCTTCTGCGCTACCCGCGCCTGCGCTGCCTACACCTGCTGCGCCAGCAGCCGTGCGCGTGCCGCTCTCGCTGGCGATTTCCCGCTGTTGCTGCGGCACCCGTTCCTGCGGTGCTTGCCGCCTGCTGCCCGTCGCCAGCCATGTGGGACCACTCTCGACCACCGCCATCTCGCTCACTGCCGCAGTGACGCTGCCGTGCCCACTTGCCCCGCCCCGCTGGCCAGCATATGGAGGCGTTGTTGGGCGCAACGAACATACGTCGGCTGCAGGTGGTGTGCCCCCTTGGCGTTGAGCCGGTTGCAGACAACTCAACAATTGTTCTTGAAAAGGATGCTTAGGCAGCACATCATGTGGGCGCCACCGCTCTGCAGCTACGCAGCCAGACCCAGCTGTGGCCTGGCCCATCAACCTCGTCTCAAGCCAAGTCCGGTTCGCCCTCTCCTGTTTGGCTTTGCCGTGGCCGCTGGCGATTGCCGATCCCACCTTTGCATATGGCTCTGATGTCCCACTGTGGCAAACCTTGAACCTTCTGAAGGGATTTTGAGATTGGGATGTCGCAAGATTGTGTTTGCTTTCGTTGACGTGAGGGGTTATGCCATGCATAGTAATCAGGTTACAGTAGCAAGGCCAGAATCTCAACGCCCACCCCCTGCTTGCAGGGTGTGTCGACCATAGCTTCCGAAAAAGTTGTTGCCAGAAATCTATCAAGCAGGCTTGCTGGTGAGTGCTGGTGATGGCTGGCAGGGGTGGTGATGCACCGGGAGTTTGACGCCGTGCAACACCATCAAAAGTCGACCCATAGCTTGAGCCCCAACTGCTGGAGGACCCCCTCAGCGGATTTAAGTGTAAGTGTGACGCGCAAGTCTGCAGATTGAAGGCCTGCAAGCCTTTCCTGTGAAGTCCAAATCTTACCTTAGTAAGGGTCACCCGGGGAGAGAGGGTGCTGGCAGGTGACGTCCCGGCGCACTCCAAGCACTGTTTGGCAGTGTTACGCTTGTGTTGTGGCCACAGTAGAGTCTGAAACCTTGATCGAAGGGAACTCCGTCGTCGGGCCCCTGGCACGCAATCTCCGTTCTCCACAAGACAGCAGCTCAGCTCTCGTCGTCAGCCCTGACCTGCACATGCGGCTGTTTTGTGCGTAAAATCGTTCACGCCGCACCATGAGCATGCACGCCCGGGTTGGGCAGGCCACCAGCCCACAGGGTCTATTACTGCTGTACTTCACAGCACTTGCGGCGGGGGCGGTGCTAGCGGGGGCGCAGACAACCAGCCTGCCGCCGTCTAGGTCAATGCTACCCTTTCAGCATGATGCAGAACCCACAGTCGCGGAAGCCGGCGGCAGAAGCTCAAGCGTTGTGGGCAGGGGGGAGGTGGCGCATGCTTCTCAGCCCGCAACAGGGGCCTTGGATGTCTCAGATCAGAGGTGAGAGGGTGGTACGCAACGGCACGCACAATGCCTTGGCTGGTTAGAGGCACATGGACCTGCTTGGCAGCGGTGGCCCAGCAACCCAGCAACCCCTGCGGGCCCTTGACAGCAGCGGCCTGCTGCTTGGATGTACGCGAGCGTCCCCAACGCGTGCCTGCTCCTTTCAACTTGGCCTGGATTCCCAGCCTCGCCACCGCCGTGCGCCGCCTCTGCTGTTGAGCAGAACCACTCCCACGATCGGCACTTCTGCTTACAAGCGAGTCCTCGCCGACAGCAAAGTGCTCTGGGCGGTTGCCGGCACCCTGAAAACCCCAGCAATGGCGGATCGACGCCCTGCACGCTCCCTCGCAGCGGTGCACACCCAGATGATCACTGGTGAGCAGCTCAGCAAATTTCCAGATGAAAAAGGGGTGCCCGATCATTTCAATGCCAATATGGTACTGTGCGTACAGTATTTCGTGTATTATTGAAGGGCGGTGCCACTAGCCCCCTGCCCTGCCCTCCCCCCCCTGGCACCTGCGTGATACACCCGTGCACAGTGATCTGGCTACATGTTTCTGTGTTGAATTCATGGTAGCCACAAAATCTGCCAGAGTATTAATCCAACTAAAATCAAACAGGGGTGACAGGGCCGCGGCTGGGCCAAAGGGTGCACTAGAATAAACCGCCGATTGGAGGGCGCCCACCGGTACCTTCCCAGACAGCCCTCACCCATGGTGAATGCTGTTGGGAAGGTACCCGTGGGTGGGCTGGACCCAAATGCCCCCTTGCTTTTTGTGTACGGCACGACCAAGCAATCCTGCTTGTCCGCATGCCCGTCTCATCTAGTACTGCTTTGAACCCACCGCATTCCACAGACTGTAGCGCCTACATGATTGACGCGGGCCCCGACATTGTCGTTGGGACCGACCCTGCCACCGGCAAGGCCACCACCGACATCACGCTCACCCTGGGCGGCTACACAGCCAGCGACATCACCACCAACAACGTCAACTGCACCCTCAAGACCGGCACCACCTGGACCTGCAGGAACCTGGTTGCCGGTGACACAGTCGTCACGTTTGCAGGCAACAAGGCCGGTGAGGGGGTGCGCGAGCTTGCGTGCCCAGCTTTGACGACCAAGCGGGTTCAGCAAGCCGCAAGGGCTTGCCAAAATTGCCACTCAAGCATGCAGGCGGTGCTGGCTGCTGTGGCGGTGCCTTGCCAGGCCTCACACCACATCTTGAAGGGTGTGACCGACAACACAGCGCCCCTGCTGAATTCCCCTCCTTCTTGTTTGGGGATTGTTGCACTATCGCACTGCTGCCACCACCTCCAGGCTGCGAGCAAGCAGATACTGTGGAGATTGCCGTCGTGGGTGCGCAGACGGCACAGCGCGTAGCCCGCTTTGTCTTGTGCGTGCTGTACCATGCTTGAGTTGTCCCAGCTTGCCTCCCTGCAGCACCGCCCCGCCCATGCTTTGGGCTAGCACTGCGCAGCCTCTCAAGTTTGATCTCACTCTGCGCTGCAAGCCAAATCACAAGGAGTTGCTTTCAAAGCACGCACCCGCATGACGCACGCGTGCCTGCACTCCCCTCCTTGGCAGACTGCGCGGGTTACGTTTTGGACGCTGGCCCTGACCTCACCGTGGAGCCCGACGCCGTCACCGGCACGGGCTCCACTGACGTCACGCTCACCCTTGGAAGTTACCCTGCCAGCGACGTCACCGTCGACAACGCCAACTGCACTTTCAAGACCGGAACCACCTGGACCTGCAGGAACCTGGTTGCCGGTGACACCGTCGTCACGTTTAGTGTCACGTATGCCGGTGAGCGAGGCTGGAGACTGCGTGCTCAGGTCGGCATTGTGATTTTTCTGCATTAGTTGTGCAGGGCTAGCCGGACATGGTGGGAACGACGGCAGTGCAAAATGGCAGCATTTCACTGGGATGCTTGGCCATTCAGCCAGCACGCCTCAGAAGGCATTTGCAAGGGCATGTTTAATGCCACAGCGCCCCTCCTGCAAGCCCCGGCTTCTTACCTGGGGCACCGCCGTCCCTACCTGCAGGCTGCTCAAGGTCTGATGCCGTCAAGATATCTGTGACAAGTGAGTGGCTGGCATGGCAAACATTGTGAAGCGCCCACCCCAGGCGCGGATCACCCGGCTGTGCCAGATCGACGTTGAGACCCGCTGGCCCAGCCCACACAGACCCGCTCGCTCACTATGCACTGTCCCCACCTCCCCCTTGCTCTACCTGCGCCGTGAACCCTGGGATCACGCGTCGCTGCCGGGCCTCGCACGCACCCTACCGCCTCATGCACGCCTGCATTGAACCCCGCCTGTCCCATTTGCAGGCTGCCGTGCCTACACAGTCGACGCGGGCGCTGACTTCTCTGTTGGGGCGGACACCACCACTGGCAAGGGCACCGCTGACATCACGCTCACCCTGGGCGGCTACGCAGCCGGCGACATCACCCCCAGCAACGTCAATTGCGCACTGAAGAGTGGAACCACCTGGACCTGCAGGAACCTGGTTGCCGGTAACAACGTCATCACGTTCACAGGCAACAAGGCCGGTGAGGAGCGTGAGATGCAATCAGAAGCCGCACATGCAATG